GATAGCATAAATTAAGAATTCGTGTATTTTTAATGGTTTTTAAAAACAATTTTATAAAATTAAACTAGAAAAATGAGCATTTTACCATTCACAATTTGCTGCAGTATAAACATTTTGTTGGATTCTACGGTTTTCTCTAGCAAATAACAACCCTCATTTTGACAAATATATATAAGCAAAACTAAAAGATAACATATTTAACAAATGAAAAGGAAAAACCATGTGATATAGAGAATCTAATGGGTCTCCATGTGAAAAATGGTGAGGATCTCGCCATTAGAGATACATATCTTGAGCAACGATCTTTACTTTGTCGTTCACTCAGGAAAACATTCAAAAGCATTTTGATTCTTTACTAATCTTTTGTTTATGATTCAATCATCTTTTTCCCACAAGTCCTAAGAAAAATCTTGCATAAATTTCTCTTCTTCTACCACTTCAAATTCTAATGGCGTACTTGTGCAATCGCCCCTCTGTAAAATTCCCAGGATTCACTTGCTTCCGTTATAGCTTCTTGCCCAAAAGGGTTCTTCTTTATGAATTCTTGAACATTTTCTGCTTCTGCTAGTTTTTCCAGATGAAGCCTCAGATCACCATTACTACCTAAATTTCCATTGAAACAGCATAGACATTAAATAGCAGATAAGATTATCAAAATCTAGACAGCAAAATTGCAGTTTCTTACTGTTCTATATAAGAAATTAATGCAATAAATTGTTTACCTAACGATGCGTCACTCTTGTTATGATGATCGTATGAGTGAGGGAATATTGCTGTATATGACTGATTCATTCCAAAAAGTTTAAAACAACGAGGAGGCTAAACAATTGTTGTTTAAATGACATAAACAAAATGAGAGAACATGCAAGAAAAAAAAAGCTTACTGGATTAAGCAAAGCCTTGTAAGGAGAATCGTCCAACAAAACTGTGTTAGTTTCGTTGTATTCACCCTTTTTCCACGGAAGTTCTGAGTCATGTTTCTCCCAGAGCTGGTTAAGTTCCTTGAACACCACAGATTTGTGCTTATTTTCAAGGGAACCAGTGGTCGTCGTAGCACAATAAGACATGTCCTGCAACAACAAAATGGATGAAAACTAGACAAGTCGTTTCATTAAAAACAGGGGAGGGCAAGGAAAGAACCACCTACCCAACAAAACAACAATTTACGCTTCATATCGCCGAGCAAGAAGTTAGTGATTCTTTCAACATTATACCTGGAAGCAACAATAAAAGCTAAGTCGATTATACACAATAGATATGGAAGTAATTGATCTGTAACTTCATATGAGTAACTCTTACTGAGTTCTGGAGGACCAGACACCAACTTCAAACTTTTCAAAGCAGAACTCCAGAAACTCTTCATAAAAGGGTCTTTTGTAAACTAACATAAACAAAGAAACTAATGAGTCATTATCAAATAGAATTGGTATGGACTCACAACAATAGATGTCGAAACTCACTTGCCCTTCTTCCAATAACTATGTCCGCTTTACAGCCTGGGAAAGAAGAAACGATATTTGCAAGCAACCCATTAAGATCAAGCACAAGAAGTTTTTTCCTTGAGACCGATGGATTTGATCTGTTCCCTTCATCAATTCTAACACAAGAATCGTCCTTCACTGTCGCAGCTACTGTAACAGAAGCGTCTATTTCATTTTCTGTATTAGCTCCATCACATAAGACAACACCAGCTTCCTTCTCCTGCATCTCTAAGTCCTGACTTTCTTTCGGGTCAATATGTTTTCCATCTGTAATACTCAGGGCAGAAACTTGCTCTATCTTTCTCTCAGTGGAGTCAAGTGGTTCAACACAAACAACATGCTCTTCTTCAACAACTATTGAACAATCTTCACCTTTCTGGCTACCACTGCCTGATGCAACACAAGTCTCTTTGTTCACATCAACCACTGTTTTGTTTTGAGACAAGACTGGAACATTTTCTGCATCAACAAACATATATAATCAACTGACCAAGACTAAGGAGACGATTAGTTTGACAGAGCTAAGAACACAATCAAAACTACTTACGAGAAGAGGATGATGCATTGTCTGGTTTAAGTATCACGTTTACGAATTCGGAAGCCAATCCGATTCTTTTGGAACAGAGCTCCATTTTCATAGCGTAGAGCTTGTTAAACATTGACTCCATCACTCTCTTCTTTGTTTCATCCGGAACCAAATCCCAATCCGTAATCGATCCATCTAAACCCAATGAAGTTACATTCGTCTCTGCTTTTACAAAAGATATGATCTCTTTACCACAAGATATGGGAACTCTTACAGGAGCATCTTCTTCTAACTTGTCAGACTTTTTCTTCGTTTCATTTCGAGAGATCTTCTTCGTCTCTTCTATTTTGGCCTCTGTTTCCACCTTCGCATTCTCAGTCATTGTCTTCTTCTTCTTAATCTCTTCCTTTTTCGCATTCTCGGTTTCTATCTTCTTCACGTTCGCAGTGTTTAATCTCTTCGTCTTCGTCTTGTCAATCTCCAAAGACGAACGATCCG